TACTCAAAACCTCATTTCTGGCAGCTTAAATCAGACCTGAATGTTGGGACTCTTCACGTGCAAGTAAATGAGGATGTAAATAGTCAGTTAATTAGGCAACAAATAACTAAGCTTCTTAAAGACGTCGGCGCTATGCAGATTGCTGTGCAGGTCTCCTTAAATTGATTTGGTTTTTTTTCTCTCTAGCGCTTTTTTTCATTTGGGAATAAATTATTTTTATCGTAGGTTCGATTTGGTTATATTATATTCTTTTTCAGGTGGAGAAGCAATCTTTTATTCATCGAATACAGTCTATGTGTCCGTCCTACAAACTGGGACAAACTATTACAAAAGGAGTGCATGTCATTGGCAGTAAAAGTAGCGCTAATCGAGATTGTAATCATGGGGGTCACGGTCACTCTCACTCCCACTCTCATTCTCACTCTCACGGAATGAACCACTCTCACTCTGAGGAGACTTTCTGTGCACATACGGAAAAAACGCAGCCTGTAATTTTCTCAATATTGAAACTGATCAGTATTTAAGCCTAGTCAGAAGTTCCACTGTGTCATTTGAACTTAAAAGTTTTAACTCTACCAAGCAAATCAAATGTTTTCCGGATTTTCTAAATTTAAAATATTTGCCATGCTTTGTTCGCTAAGGGTCATATTGGGACGGTTTGCACATTACTTTCACTTACTGGCTCACACCGTATAAAAATAATTAAACAGAGGGCTAGACACCTGCTTTTCATGAAAAAGAAGTTAAGGAAATGAGAATAATTTAGTCAGGTTTATCCTCCCCACTAAAAAGTGCTATCTTCATTTGTTTCTGAGTTAAATTTAATTAAAGGTCTTATTACTTTGTTCTGCTAGGAACTGTTTTATTAATATACAAAACGGTGATGAAAAGACAGGTTTCTTTTAGGTGTAGTTTGAGGTTTAATTGGTTCTGATAATGTGAAATGATGAGTTATCAAAAGTTTAATTTGTTAATTTTTTTCAGTTTGGTTTGGGTGCTAATGGTTATGCGAGATGATGAACCAACTTTCATTGGGTTGTGACTGTGCGATTTATTACATTCTTGGAGTGCAGTTGGATTTTTCCAGCCATGCTCTGTATTTGCAACGGCTTTTGTTATTTACCTGCCGGTAAGACTTGATTTTTTTAAGGTTCTGTACGTAGTTTGCTTTTGTTATTGTAAACAAATTGTTCTTCTATCGTATCTTTACTTCATTTTTTACTGTATTAAATTGTTCCTGATTCTTTTTTCACCTTTTCACTTCTTAATTTAAAGCGGAAAATTGTTAAATTTCTGTCTCGACGGGAGACGAAAATTGTTTGGGAAGTTATTTTTGTTCATTTAAATTGCGTTCTTGTTGTTAACTTTGATCCTAAGTTGTGTGTATTTGAGTTCTTAGAAACAGTTTCAATTAATCGCTTTTTTCATAACCATTGTAGAGGAGCAATATATCTATTGGAATGCGAAAGCTGTAGAATTTTTAAGTTGTCTCTTTCTCGGGTCTCTTTCTGTTGAAAAGTCATCTTGTGATCTTTTTTAGTATAGCTGGATTTCAAAAATTTTTTGTGATGGTGTAAAATGGTCGTCTTTTTCGGCATACGAGTATGGACGTTAAATTATTTCCTATGTACAGCTTTTTTTCATTCTTCAAAGACTGTTGTTTGTTGTCATGGGCTTTTAATTTGTTATAGAAGGGATTGTTATTCGCAAAACTTGTGAATTCCTGCCTGCGTTGTTATCGTATTTTAAAGTGATACGTTTCGATCTTGACAATACGGCAGGAATACAATTTTAATGTTACTGATTGAGGTTTTTCAAGGTGGGTCTATCACAAATTATTAGTAGTTCTTTGTGGGATTGGCAGCTTAGACGAAAGGTTAGATGGCATTGGGAAGGTTTGAAATTTACGCAGTCTGCCTTTTCTGTTTTAGAGGTTTGAATTCAGTGAGAACAGAAGTAAAGGTTTAGTCCTGTTACGCTTAGAGAACTCATTTTATGCCACATTTCAAAGCAACACGTCAACAAACTCATGGTAAAGTTCATGCCTACCTTGTTGACTAGTTTTTCAGCGAGACCTTCTGGGGGGTTATTTCTCAATTCATAATATTGATTGATTCTGGAGCCAACGAATGAACCTTCAAAGAATTGGGACCATGAGAAGTCTTCAAGGTCCTCAGGCGTTTTGTATTTTTTGAGACTTTCTTGTTATCACATACTTACTTGTTAACTTTTAACTTGCTAGGTGGAAAGCGTTAACAGTAAGGTATGCCTTGACTCTAAAGATCACTTTTTGATGGGTCGCGTTCATATGTTTTTACTGATTACCGTCTTGTTAAGAAGCACTTGATTTCCATTTGTTTTTTGCGCCTTTTTCTGCTTTAATGGTGCCTGTGTAACAATTTGGAGAACTGCTGTCAAGAGCTAGTAACGGCGGAAACAGCAAGTTTTATTTTTTAGTAAAAAATGAAGAGTATAAAGTGGTAGGATCTAAGAATGTCATTTGAAATTAGGTTTTAGTATCAGAATTTTTATTTACGCCAAGTCTCTTCCTTACTTCGTCCAACACTCTGGCTTCATAGTCATGATAGTTGCGATATTTTGCCAAGACGGAATGGTTTTTTTCTGATGGGTCTCTAACGTTTCGTACTGGTACATTCCTTGAAAACGTCATGTAGTTTAGAAGCGTAGAGAGAGAGCTTTGAGCAAATGTTGGAAGTTCATATTTATATTTATAATGTATTGTTGATATTTAAAATGAAAAATTCTTGGAAAGAAGACACTTTTGCAAAGCATATTCCCAATCTCCTCTACTTGTGTAAACGTCATTGAGGATTTTAGATACTGCTGTTAATGTCATCGACTTGGTCCCTGACTTCCATCTGAAAATGCTTCAGTGGTTAAAGATTGAAAGATGTTAAAGAAGATGATGTGGAGGAATAGATGTATTTGTCTTTTAGAAACAATTCATTTACTATCAGCTGATGGCTGATTTTTTAGAGAGTCAATATTAAAGTAAACTTGCTTCATGTAGCGGTCGAGTGGCAACTTCTTAACCATAATTCCAAGCTCTTTGGCCGCTATCAAAGACGCGTGCGGATGAATATTGACTTCTTTCACACGGTCAACGATGCCACCGAGGACGAAAAGTTCAGTTCCAGAAACCGGAAAAACTAGTTATTCAAGATTTGCT